ACAGGCACAGGAATGCTGGTGAATTCTGGTATATCTGCTAAGTCGTGATTTGATCCGGGAATGGCATGTGGCAGGATGAAGTGGACATAGGACTTGACAGAAACCATGAGGACAGGTAGGCAGTTAATGAGGAGAGTTTGGTAAGATATGTTGAGATGTGTCACTATGCCTTGTGGTGAAAAATCGTCCAAAAAATTTGACACAACTTGGACTTAGCTGTAAGTTTGCCGTGGATTTGGCTTATAATTCTTTCACGATTAATCTCTCAAATATTTTCATTTATCACTGTCTACACTATCATTTATCTACATTGCTTGCAAAAAAAAACTAGGAATGAAAATTAAATGTTGACTTGACAGTCCAGCCACTTATTTGTGGAGCAGCATAACCCAAGGTGTGAGTCAAAACTATAATGCATATTTTAGTTTGTGTTTTTGATAAACTCTTTATGCCTTATTCATTAGTGTCCTATGAAATCAGTTGACATAGATGCACTATGCACACAACCTCTGCTTAAAGGGACATGCTGTAATGTCTAATTTTTTCAGACATTGCTATGGAAAATTTAGAATGTTTGGGCCTCTGTCATGATCAACATTCCTGCTCTAAGAGTCTGCGTATTTTTGGTATGCTAATGCCATTTACAGCTTTGACATGCAGCCCCAGAAGCCAATGCCTGCGCATGGATCTTTGAGGTCTGTGCAGAAGAAAAAAAAATTAGTGGGAATGCTGGTCACGATCCACTAGGAAAATACACTGATGCTTGAGTTTCGCCAATCCCCTAAATTGTCACAATGCTAAAGATATAATTTAATTACTGAAAGCTCCCAATTTTCCTAACTGGTGAACTTGGGTTAACAGAAAACATTGACCAGGTTTCTGTATGTAAAGATTATTTATTATAAATCAGTTCTAACCATTGGCAAACCAATATCAATTAACTTAACTCTACTAATGTAAACACCAACTCTGCTTAAACCCCTACACACACATGCAGGCAGTCACAGATAAACAAACATAGATATTATGGGTGGAGAAATAAACATTAGTGGAGCACATTCAATATCAACAGTCCACAGGATTCGTTGATATGGTTCTTTTTGTCCTTCCAAAACTTTTAATCTTCGGTCGTCTTATTTCCAAGTCCTTCCTGTTATTTACTGAAGATGCAGGTCCGTTGACACTCTAATTGTTCGGTCTCAGTCATTGGTTAGAGGTCACAATTTATAGCAAATGGTGGGACAGAATAGCTAGCAACTTTCAGTTCTTTTACTTTCCTATGAGGAAGGAGAGATGCTGTCTTCCTGTGGTCTGTTGGCCTTTTGCCTCTATATTGGTCATGCACAAGATGTCCACCTGCCTAGGAGATGATCAGAGTTGTCATGCTGATAATGTTTAGCCCCTGAACACATGTGCATGGTGTTGTTGCATCTCAAACATCTTTTCCCACTGCTGAAACAAAGCACAGCATAAATACAACTCGCAACAAGTTTCAGTAGCTAAATTGTATTTAAAAGTTCAACATCTTCTTTCACATTCCTTGCTTTAAAAACAGTCCTTTTCCCATTTTGGTCCACAATTCAAAATAAACTAAAATAATGTGGTCTTTACAGGATGTTCCTGGTTTCACCCTGCAAAAATGGTATTGTTAATAAAATTTGTATATATTTGGTGGGGAGCAGAGCCCCAGTTCAAATCTTTTGAATGAAGATCATTGATCATGTTTGGAATTCAAGTGCCTGGTAGCATGTGATGATGTTACCTCCCTTTGATGTTCAAAGGGCTAAATAGCCTACTGATGTTCCCAAATCCTGAAGTCTCAGCCTTCATTTACAGGGTAAGGTTTATAAATTGTATGAATGGCTCTGATACTTATGCAATTTAAAATGGCGCTTAGTTACTCAAGAGTATTAAACTGAGATTATCATATTTAAATTAGGGTTGGTTGGAATTACAATATTATTAACAACGATCTGACAACTTCCAATGGATTTCTCATGGGGAAAAAAATTATTGTAAACTTTAAAATGGAATCAACAACAGAAAATCTCAGCACATCTTAACATTAAACTTCAGGGAACATCTCTTGTGCTTCCATGCTATTTATTTTCTTCTGTTTTCTATGGCTTATCTGAACTACCTTGCCAATATGTTTCAAAATTATGGGGTGGCGTTCACAACAATTGAGCTTGGTTTGTGATACTTTGAGTGAGAAGAAAAGATGTTTTCTACTGAAACAGTCTTGTTGGATCTGAGGCTTAATTACCATGGTAACAGGAAAGTGTATGATACGAAACATTTTATAATTTTGCAATGGTAGGAAGTAGCAGGTCATATCCTGGTGTAAACAAAAAAGTGGGAAAAACTTTAATTGTTCCATCTCTTGCATTAATAGTGTGAAACAACAAATTTCACCTGCAAGTTTGAAATGTATAAACCTGCAGTGTATTTAGTGTACAATGTTTTTCAAAAAAAATCTAGTTGTGGATAATAGGAATAAAATTGCACCATTGAGTTCCTAATATCCGTTTCACCATTCTATTAGATCATGGTTGATCTAATTTTCATTTACCTGTCTTTTGATCTACATATCTCTGCCTTGTTTTAAACAAAATTCTGCTAATTTCCTTTGATCCATTATCCATAACTTTTTTGGTGGAAATATTCCAGATATCCTTTCTGTGGAAAGTGCAATTTGATTTTGCTCCTAGATGCCTTTTTTTTTTAAGGTTGTGCCCTCTGATCTAGATTTAAAGGGCACCTGAGGAAATAACCAAATAACTGCAGTTACCATTTTCAAAATTGTTTTAAACTATTAATCAAGAAATATTCTCTCAACCTTCTAAACTCAGAGAAAACAAGCTCTGTTTATGGAACAACATCAATAGTTTAATATTATGATGAATTGGTACTGAACATTTTCCAAGGCTATTTTAGCTTTCCTGAGCTGCAGTGTGTAACACTAAGTATTTCTGAAGAGGCTGATCTAACCCTATACAGTTAGGATTCAACTGTCTCCCAATTTAAATTACAGCTGTCATAAGATAATGATCAGTATTCATCAGTCATTTCAACTACTTTCTTAACAAGAGGATTAGTTTTTAATATTTGCATTAGCATTAATTTGTTCCTGCAATGCTCCAGATAAGGAGCATTAAAGAAACTTTCTTTTGGACGCTCTGATGGATATTCTGTGTCCACTTCTCTTGCAAGGATCAAAGAAAACATGGTATGGGGATCTTCTATTGCCATTGGCAGCAACTCCAATTCATTAAAGCATACATGTTTCAGTAATGCCAAGTCCATAGCAGCACTATTGCCCCTTCACTATTCTGATATGTCAGTGAGTGGCTTGGCACACACCCTTCCCATGTTCATGAGCAAAATGTGGTTTGAATTTCCTCAGCTGGTGTGTGTTTATTTTTTGGAGGGTAAATACTCAGATGCCTATCCTGATGTTTGGGAGTAACACACTATTTGTTAGAGCTTATGAGGTCATTGATCTTTTCTATAGATTCAGTGTCTTTTTTCATGATTCCTCTTCCACTCACAATGGCAGTGATTTCTATCCAGATCTGTGTTGTGGGACTCCTTACATACTCCAGAAGTAAAGTCTGCTTTCCTTCCTTTTCCTTACTACTCCCAGTTCGATGTACAAAAGAGGGGCTACCGAGACCTGATTTCCAGTTCTTCAGCTATCCTGAAATGGAAAATGCAGTTCAGAGTTTGCTGAGTCTTCAATAGCCAATTTCAGTTCAGGCAACCAGTAGCTCCGTTAGCTGCTGATTGGCTGCCAAACCTGTTTCCACCACAATAAAGAGTGGCCCCTAATGTTTCATTAGCCACATGGATGTTTTCCTGGTGGTGGAAAATATAGAATAAAGTTGTGCACAATGATGTCTTTTTACTGTGTCACTATACATACACACAGCCACAGATAATTTGGGGAAAATATAAGCATTAGTGCTGAGCCCCCTTTGGGTAAAAGAAAAAAAAAGAGTTGCTCCTGTGGAACTCCAGATTCATTTCTGTTTTCCCAGGAGCGAGTTCAAGACCCATAAGCTGTCCCAATTTCTGTTTCTGGCCCCCACTGTGAGAATCCAGAGTTCTGCCTTTGAAAGATTCTCAAAGTTTTTGCATGATTGGTGTTGAACTAATGGTTGTGCAGTTACCTGTTTTCACCCTCCTTTCCCTTCTTAAATAATTAAATTGGGTTGACAATATTCCATTCCAAAACTGGAAATTTCCAGAGTCAGGAATTATATAAAATTGCTTGCAAAGTTCAGAATATAGTGTTCTGCATTAGCTGTGATTGGACATTACTTGCTAAACATCCCAATTGTGCTAAGCATAAGACTAGAAACCAATTTAAGATAATCAGACAGGCTCGTTTACGTGTGCTAGAGCCACATAGAGTCATACAGCATGAAAACAGACCCTTTGGTCCAACCAGTCCATGCCGAACATAATCCCGAACTAAACTAGTCCCACCTGCCTGCTCCTGGCCCATATCCCTCCAAACCTTTGCTCTTGATGTACTTACCAAAGTATCTTTTAAATGTTGTTACTGTGCCCTCATCCACCACTTCCTGAGGAGGCTCACCATCTCTTCATGTGCAGGGTCCTGTCTCTTGCAAATGGAAGGAACATATGGATATGTTTTCCCCCTGAATCAACAGCACAAAGACTTGGTGAGACACAGTCATTCCCAGGTATGTTCCCCATGCCAATACTATGAACAGTCAGAGTTGACTTTGTTAGTTTGAATTTAAACAAAAGCTTGATGTCAGCTGTTCCCTGGTGCATTCTTCAATGCTTCTACCAATCAGAATCCATTCACGAACCAGTGAGCACCCTCCTACCTTTTGAGATTTGTATTCTTTTTTCTGTCCTAATGAGTGGAAACTGAGAGTTTTAACAGCATGCCAATTTTTTTTCAGCACCAGAAAAGAATTAAATAAATATTTTGAAGCTTAACTGAATTAATTTGTCCTCTGCAGGTAGTGAAAATGGGGGTGAAGATACGGTAGTTGGGAATGTCAGTAAGTTTCTCGTCATTCCCACTGGTTACACTGGACATCCTAAGAAGGGACATTTAATATTTGATGCCTGCTTTGAAAGCGGTAAGTCCAAAATTCTGAGAAATAATTCTTGCAAATCAAGAACATGTTTGTATCATTTTTATATTCAGCTTTTGGGTCAGGCAATGTTGTGTTTAATAGGTTTCCCTGTTGGAATGGAAAATTAACTCTCATGTTAGACCAATTGAAAAACATTAATTTAAATCAAGGGATGTTTTTAAAAATATCCTGCTTTAAACAAAGTCTGAAGCTAGTTCTCGTGTTAATGTTCACAATAAAATATCAGTTTTGGTAGTAACGTGTGAACCTGAGCCAATCTAGTTGACTAATAGAAAAGAAAATAACAATAGACTTGTCAGCCAGTTCTGCCCAGTTGCCCCCATATGATCCACCAGGTAAGTGCCCTGAAAGAAAGGTTGTACTGGCTAAAGACGGTATTGGAGACTACCTGCACTTTATTTTTGGTAGCTTGTTAAATTCCAAAAATACCATTTTGCAACTGAGTCCTGAGTCTTTATTTTTGCCAACTTGTGACAATGTGTTTAACCAATTACATGCATGGCCCAAGAATTCCTTATTAATTTACTGGCAATTACTGAATCAAAGAGATATTTCAGCAAAGCTGAGGTCATATTTATGTTGTGTATATTGGTTTTCTGGGCTTCTTTGAAACAAAGCAAAGATGCAACAGTAATTGAGAGGGCAGTTTAGAAATGCAAATACTGTAGTATTTGCAGTATAAATACTCATTATACACAGCTGCTTTCTAACTTAATTGTCATAAACGTTTGTAGTACACTTGGCTTGGAGCTCACTATCTATATTTTGAAGGTTTTCTGAATCGCATCAGGATGTCTGACACATGATCTGCCTTGGATTCGACCTTGTCTGAGGTGCGAAATGAACAGCAATAGTAGCAGTCTCTTTTTCAAAAAAAACTGCAGTTGGTCAGCAGAGAGTGGACTAGCAGTAGCCTACTGTTGATAAACCTGTAGTTGAATAGCAGGGATGAGAGAACAGCAGAGGGGCACAGCTTGCAGCAGGCATTACCTACGCATATAGCAGAAGTCAAAATATTTTTTTCCGAGCGCTCACTGTGATTTTGTCAAAGTCTCCTTTTTGATTTTTGGAGGTTACTGCTTGATATTTAGAGGCTCATTTTTATTTTCAATGAATTTTTTGTTAGATGGTCCAGCCATGTCATGACCTTTTTCTAATTGTGTTTAATCTTTGAAGGGTTTTCATCTTTAAATAGATAATAAAATTACCAAAGGTTGTATGCATTTTTTAAACTTGGGATTTATAAACAAGACGTTTTTGTTTGCTTGTTATAAATAAAACTGCATACCCTATTTTCAAACTGGAAATTCTAACTACTTGCTACAAAACATTTTATTGTTTGGGATTAAGGTCATCTGATTTTAAGTTGCAGCCCGAGAGAACATGGGAGGATGAAATTTGTTGTTGACGTAAAATAGACTAGATGGAAAGCTGTATGCAGTAATGTATAACTAGGTTCTGCATGTTAAATACATAGTCCTCAAGCTCGCACATGCTTATGTACCAAAAGTAGGAAATGTGCTAATTGGCACATGCTTGGAAAGCAGCGTAAGTGTCAGTGCTGCAAAGATCATGCTCATGGCAGCATCATGGCAGGGAAAAATCAGTTATGAAGGAATATTCCTCACCATGCGTAGGTGGCAGTAGATAAGACTATCACCTAGACATGAGCACTTTGGTAAGGCCCCAAAGGGTGGATTGACAGTATGAAGATCTCAAATGGAAAAAGCTACATCTCATGCTTTCTATTTCTTCAGAGATCACTGCTTCTTGCAGGATGTTTGGCCAGCAGCTGTATTATCTTATTTAAGATTAAGAAGATGGAGAATGAGAAAAAGGGAGAATTATGCCAACAGGACCTGAGGTACAAGACCCAGTGAATGCATCCATAGATTGATAAACAGTACTTGAAGAGGAGAAGGAGGTCTTCAGCATAGTTGAAGAGTCTACTGAGAGAGGGTGTACCAAAAGACTTGCAGTTCCCTGCAGGTCAGTGTAAAGCAGTGTCAGAAGCAGCTTAGGATGGCTAGGGAAGCTGTGACCTATATCTGCCACCTCCTCAGGCAAATCTACATGATTGGGAAAGAGTGCTGCACTGAAATGCCACTATGCTTGTTAGGGAAGGCGATGGCCTAGTGGTATTATCACTGAGGAAGGGTCACCGGCTCCTCCACAGATGCCGCCAGACCTGTTGAGCTTTTCCAGCAACTTTGTTTTTGTTCCTGGTATTATCACTGGACTGTTAACCCAGAGACCCACGTGATGTTCTGGGGACCCGGTCTCGAATACCTCCATGGCAGATAGTGGAATGTGAATTCAATAAAAATCTGGTATTAAGAGTCTCCTGATGACCATATCAATTGTTGGAAAAACCCATCTGGTTCACTAATGTCTGTGAGAAAAGGGTCTCGGTGGGATGCTCTGAGGGTTGGTGTGGACTTGTTGGGCCGAAGGGCCTGTTTCCACACTGTAGGGATTCTATGATTCAATGATATGAAACTGCCATTGTTACCTGTTTTTAATGTGGTTAACGACATTAAAAACCACATGTAGACCAGACGGGTAACGATGGCAGTCTCCTTCTCTACAGGACATTAGTGAACCAGATGGGTTTTTCCAACATTTGACATGATCATCAGGAGATGCTTAATACCAGATTTTTATTGAATTCACATTCCGTGGTATTTGAAACCGGGTCCCCAGAACATTACGTGGGTCTCTGGGTTAACAGTCCAGTGATAATACCACTAGGCCATCACCTTCCCTGAAGAACATAGTGGTATTTAGGTGTAGCACTCTTTCCTAATCATGTAGATTTGCCTGAGGAGGTGGCAGATGTAGGTGACAGCTTCCCTAGCCATCCTAAGCTGCTTCTGACACTGCTTTACACTGACCTGCAGGGAACTGCAAGTCTTTTGGTACACCCTCTCTCAGTAGACTCTTCAACCATGCTGAAGACCTCCTTCTCCTCTTCATGTACTGTCTATCGATCGATGGATGCATTCACTGGGTCTTGTACCTCGGGTCCTGTTGACATTATTCTCCCTTTTTCTCATTCTCTGTCTTCTTAATCTTAAATAAGATAATACAGCTGCTGGCCAAACATCCTGCAAGAATCAGTGATCTCTGAAGAAATAGAAAGCATGAGATGTAGCTTTTTCCATTTCAGATCTTCACACTCATACCATTGTCTATGCACCGGTTGCATTTAGTAGTGACAAATGTGTCGTCTACGTACCGGTACGTAGATGACACGTTTGTAATTATTAATCGCAACAAATTAGAAGAGACACACCACCTCATCAACAGCATAGTTGCAGGGATTAAATTCACAAGGGAAGAAGAAAACAACAATCAGCTACTGTTTATGGATGTTAAAGTTGGGTATATGATCAACGGGGAGTTCAAAAACTCAGTATACAGAAAAGCAACCCACACTGATCAAATCCTCTACTTCCACAGCAACCATCCCAACATCCACAAACAAAGCTGCATTAGGACACTATCTAAATGGACCAGGACACACCACAACATTCCAGAACTACGCAGGAAAGAGGAAGAGCACCTATACAAAATCCTTGCTATAAACTGATATCCCCGCAACTTTATCTGCAGATGCCTACTAAACAGACAACAGCAGGAGGTCACAATACACCCTAACACACTGGCCACATTGCTGTACATCAAGAACATATCAGAACTGACAACAAGACTCCTAAGACTACTAGGAAGCATTGTAGCCCACAAGCCCACAGCCACTCTACGACAAACACTCACAAGGATTAAAGACCCCTTTCTCGCAATATGCAGAACCAATATGGTTTACAAAATACCATGCAACGACTGCCACAAACATTACATCGGACAGAGAGGAAGGAAACTAGCCATCAGAATACACGAACATCAACTAGCAGCAAAATGGCACGACGAACTCTCTTTAATATTGGTGCACTCAGACAATGAAGGCCATCAGTTTAACTGGGACAAGGTAACCATAGTAGCCCAAGCCAAACATAGACATGCACGGGAATTCCCAGAGGCATGGTTCTCCACCCGTAATACAATCAACAAACATATAGAATTAGATCCCATATACAAACCCATACAGATCAAAACCAGAAATGACACTGCTCACCATAACGGACCAGACAGTATAAGTTCCAAGCGGAGTAGAATAACATCGCTTCATTGGAGGCTCCACTGATTATGTCACCTAGCATGGTGACAAACAAGAAGACGACAGCTCGGCGAGCAAGTCAACAACCTTGCCCACAACCCTAACCCCCATTTTCTGTCCAAAGCCTTTAAAACATGCTGTCATCTCCCAAATCACATCAGTCTTTCCTAGAACTCCATATTTGAATCACTCCAATGAGGCTTTTGCTTACAATATCAAGACATCCTATCAAAATCAGAAATGAAACATACATACCTATGTAACTGTTACAAAAGTAAACTTTCTATCCTTCTCCTTCTTGACCTGCCTGCAGCCTTAGACTCTGTTGATGTTGGATGGATTTCACTCATCTGGTTCTCTCTTATCTAGCCAGTTATAGCCAGAGTATCATCACAGAGAATTGGGTGGAATCTTAACATGATCTGAATGAGAGCTCTGGCAAAATAAATTTGGTGAGATACATTCTTGATGTCAATATTGTCTCATTACATCTTGTTTGCTTTTCTTGAGAAATGTGGTGAGATTCTCAATTGATGATCATTGCTTGTTAAGCACATTATTAATTGTCAAATTGGTTATTTAATCTAGCCACCAAGAAACTTGACGTGGAAACCCGCTGCTTCCTTCATAAGACCTCCATATTGGACACTGAGCACCAACATCTGAATAGAATAGAATAGTCTTTATTGTCATGTGCACTCAAATGAGTGCAGTGGCAATTTTGTAGTGTCATCTTTCGGCACCATCTTAGGTACAGAGGACCTAGGTACAGATAGTTTTACGTGTAGTTACAGAGTAAAAAAAA